TTAACAAGCTCCAGAAAAGTAATTATAATCTTTGTGTTAAGCCTCACAAGTGCTTTGAACATCAAAAATGCCATGAGTGATAACAATATTATGATGATGAAGCCATGTAATGGTCTGGTTTGTTGTCAAGTCTTCCTGCCTTCCCACACACCTTGCTCTTTAATAGAAGCAGTGAGAAACAACTTTGGCTACCTCTGTAGGGTGAATATTCTTTTACAATCATGTAAGATGAAATGAGATAATATATAAAATCACTGGGTGTTCAGGGGTGCTACTTAAATCCCAACTATTATGTGATAAAGCCATATTTATTATTCTAAGTATGGAGGGGAGAGGAACCAATCCCTCAAGGGCTTCCTCTGCACTAGATCCCTCTAGACTGGTTTCTGTTTGATTTTTATAATTCAGCTGGATATGAACTAAACTCAATACAATAAGGTCGACCCTATCAGTCAGTTATAGGGCTTCCTTGGTAGCTCAGCTGGTAAAGAACTTACCTGCAATGTGGGAGACCTGGGTTCAATCCCTGGATTGGGAAGATCCCCTGGAGGAGGAAACGGCTACGCACTCTAGTATTCTGGCTTGGAGAATTCCATGGACTGTTACATGGGGTTGCTACTTAAATCCCAATTATTATGTGATAAGGCCATATTTATCATTTTAAGTATGGTGGGGAGAGGAACCAACCCTCAAGGGCTTTCTTGGCATTAGATCTCTCTAGACTGGTTTCTGCTTGATTTTAATAATTCAGCTGGATATAATCTAAACTCAATACAATAAGGTCAACCCTATTAGTTACATGACAACACTTTATTGTTCAGCCATAAACTTATAACTGCTGCTATTGTTCTTCTTATAATACCGAAGGCTACTCAAGGTTAAAGAAATATTTCCTGAATTTTGGAACTGCCCCCTGTAAACTTTGAGATGTGTGGTTTTGTATCTTTCTTTGCAGTAAAGTAGGGATTGCAAGTAATACATCTTTATCATCTTATTTACTCCATGCTTCCACAAAGGATTTGGGGGAAACTACAGTATATATTAATTTGAGCAAACTCTGGGAGATAGTGGAGGAGAGAGGAGTCTGGAGTGATGCAAGCCACGAGATCACAAAGAGTCGGACGTGACTTAGCGACCAAACACCACCACCACCACCAACAGGACATACATACAGGCTTCCCTGGTGGCTCAGTGGTAAAGAATACACCTGTCAATGCAGGAGAAGTGGGTTCAATCCCTGGGCTGGGAAGATACCCTGGAGAAGGAAACGGCAACCCACTCCAGTATTCTTGACTGGGAAACCATGGACAGAGGAGCCTGGCAGGCTACAATCCATGGGTCACAAAAGAGTTGGCTACAACTTAGTGACTAAACAACAACAACAGGGTATATATGGTAGAGTATCACTGTCATTATTGTAACTCATTAAGTTTGAGCATTTGCAGTCACACTTGATAAATGACTCAGAGGAAAGAACAACAAAAAAGGAAGTTGTAAAACTGTATTCTCTGAAGGTCTTTAAATAGATTAAATTGTGGTATTCCTTTGCAATGGTCTTCTCGGAGAAAATGGAATTTCCTTAGGAATATTCCTTTCTGAAAGATATTTCTGGTGACTTTTACGCTTATGATCCCTTGGAAAAGAACATTAGCATGCCTAATTACATCTAAGTGTAATTTAATGTTTTCTATCTTCTGACATCATGAGTGAATAGTTATTTTCTCTTAGTGCTTTATTGACCTTTTGTGAATGCCTCCCAATTTCTTCAAGCTCTATAAAAATTCATAGTCAGTCTATGGGATAATAATAGTAGTGACAAATATTTATTGAGTACTCTATGTATTAGGCACTGTGTTAAGTGCTTTGTGAATGCCATATAGTATTAACTTGTTTAAATATTTCATGAATTTTTTTTTTTGTTTTAAGTATACTCTGTGACCATCCATTTCATAAAGCAAATAACTCCTTTAAAAGTTTAGATTTTTATCAACTGATTCACTTAAGCCAGGGCTTGCCTGCAAATTATATACAATTTTTACAAAACACTTTTAGCTCCTTAATATCAGCTACAATCTGTGTGTGATACATATATGGTGCGTCAGGCCTGCCCAAACACTTTACACCTATGCATCTCATTTAATCCTCATAGTAACCCTAAGAGCTAAATATTATATCCCCGTTTTACAAATAATAAAAGTTTCCAAGAAGTGAGAAACTTGCCTGATATGAGTGTGAGTTGGGATTCAAACCTGGGCCTGGACCTCCACCCTTACTGTGTAAGTGATGAATTGTATTCTTTCTCACCCAAGCTCATATGAGAATGTTTTGATTAGGGAGCTGAGAACTGATTGCTCTACACTAAAAGAAAACAGGAACTATTCTGGAAAGCATCTCAAAAAGGGAACACAGAACTGCTTGGAGATGGTAACAGAGGTTAATATTTTAGCTGTCCGTGTTATCGAGACATAGCGTCCTGGAACTTAGGGCCACCTTTCGATATTGAGGGGGATAATAACAAGACAGAAAGTATGCAATGTGGTACCTGAGAATCTATGAGACAGAGTCCTGTCCAAGGGTGTCCTAGGACCAGTCCCAAGGAAACTGGAGATGGGGCTCCCTCCTGAAGACGTGGTCCCGTAATCCACCAGGCAGTGCTCTGGGGCGGGGATGCAGCCCCACACCCAAGAGCAAGGTCAGAGGAAGCAGGGCTCCTCTGGCTCCCTGACAGTTGACATCTAGTTCTTTCTTCCTGATTCACTACATGCTGACAAGAGGGATTTTCTGTTCTCTTTGCTCTCCTGTTTACACAGAACCTCCCACCCTGGCACCATGTTACTTTGCCAGGAACAACTCATAGAGATGTTTGGGGTGGGAGGAAGAAACTGGACTAAACTCGGGTTTAAACTAGTTTCAAGCAGAAGCCCGTTCCTACCTTTGGCCTCAGATTAATACACAGCTGTTTAATAAACCAGTTTCTGCCTCCTCCGTGAAATGAGAAAAGCTGTGTCATATTCGTTCATGGAAATGTTTTCAGTAGATATCATTAAACTGCCTCCAAATAACCTGGCTGCTCCATATTACACATGCTAAATGATAAAATGCCATTTAGGCAGCTTTTTTTTGTTTTCAGTGTTACTGTCAACAGTTTTCCCATTGAATTCATATATGGATATACCTCAGAAAGAAAATGCTGGAGATAAATGTCTCTAAAGCTGCCATCTCTCCCTGGGTTTTATTTTTTCCCTCCAGGTAAAGGCCAGAGGACAAACAGCTTCAGCCACAGAGGGTTGGACAGACAGAAGCCCCAGAGAACCCTGAGCAGAGGCAAGTTTGCACAAATCTGTCCTGGCAAAGTGTCACTTGACCCCATGGAAGACAAAAACAGACTCATTCTAAAATACATACGGGAGGACCAGAACTAACTCAACACCATCCAACACGGTCCCTGCGACCCTGCATCAGCCCTGGTTACCCCTCTGTGCTTCCCTCATCCTTTCCCGCATCCTTACTTGACGTTTGCCTAAAGGAGGGAGTTGTTCCAGTAAAGGGAAGTGATCACTACAATTCTACACTCTGCAGATTCCCCAATAAATACCATGTGATTCATGACAATAATAACAGCAGTCGGAATGAAAAGGGGTCACGTGGTTTTCCCAAGACTCTGGAGGTTCCCGTCCCCCCCAACCCCTGCTTTCCCTACTCACCCCTACGGGAGTCCGTCTGTGGCAGGAAAGGTGAAGGCCTTAGGACCCGAGAGCCCCCTCCTGCCATTCGCTTGAGAAACAAAGCCTTCCCTCCTCCCAAGTTGAAAGAAATAAAGGAGTCTGAGCTAATCGCAACCTGCAAGCCTGCGGGCGGCCCATCAGCTTGCCAGTGGTGCACCCCGGCGGAGCGAGTACCGGCTTCGAGCTTTGCAGAAAAGGAGAGAGGGAGAGAAAACAGAGACAGAAACACAAAGAGAAAGAAAGAAAGGCATTAACCTGGCCAGGAGTCACACAGGTGCACGGAGCCCGAAGCCCGAACGCTGAGAGCAGTGTCGGACACTAGAGGGTCCGACCATGTGTGCTTCCGGCGGAGGGGCTGGGGGGTGGGGCGGGCTGCTTCTAACTGATGGGGGCAGGGCTGCAGTCCGGATGCAGGGGTATATACAGATTTTTTTTTTCTTATTCACAGGACTCAGGGTTGACTGAGAGCCTTTAACTTTCCTCCACTTGTCAATCTGACCTCTTCGTGGTTCCCAGGGACAAACGCTCCATGAGAGGGGGGAGCTCCGGCCAGGATGTTGATCACACACACCCCCACCATGAGTCACAGAATTTCGTGGTGCCTTGGGAAGAGAGGATGGTGAGCCCCAGGGGGCTGCCACGTTGCGAGCAACAGCAGTGAGCTGTGTGATTCACGGCGCTGCCTGGGTCTTGAGTTGGCTGCTCAGAGGCTGCAACATGTGGCCTTTTAAGCCTCTTGCAGCCTCACTGTCCTTGGAGTGACTCGTGTCTGTCTGACGGGGATCTGAAATGTGCAGTTTCACTGTCTCTCTGAACTGGCTACCTGGAACTCCTGGGCGTTTAAGAGCCTCTAGAAACGGAGGGCTGTGCCTTCAGGCTGTAGTTGGCTTTCAGGCAGATGTTAGGAACAGAAGGGAACGCAAGCAGAGGAAAGCTGGGTGGGCGGGCACAAGACCCTCAGGAGAAGGCCCCAGTTGGGAGACAATGCCAACCGAAGGGGATGCAATTCAGCAGGACTGAACCTTGGGGGCACTGAGTGTCATCTTAGCAAAGGATGCCATGTCTGGTGGAGATTCAGGCTCTTGACCTCAATTTAAGTTCAAGCCCTTGCTAGCCCCATAATTCAGAAGACCTGGCTTGCAGCTGTGGGACCCCTGTCCACAAGCCTCTGACGGAGAGTTTACTGTGAGCATAGCTGAGACAGCTGGGCCCACCCTGCAGCCCCAGGCCCACCCCTGCACCAGACTGGGCTTTGAGATCAAGTGTGGTCTTTACCTGAAATGCGCCTGGGCACGTCGGTGATGGCGGGCAGCCCGGTGCCCCGCGTGGAGGATAGCGGGGTGGTGGAGTGGATGGACGGAGGAGTCATCTGGCTCAGGTAGGAGGGGTAGGACTGGTCATAGGACCAGGGTGGGGAGGACTGCGCCTGCCTGGGGTCTGGGAAAAAGAAGAAAATCCTTAGCACACCAGCCGCTCTGGCCTACACACACAACCCCAAACTTAAAAAGGATAAAGCAGTAAAAAAAAAAAAAATCAGACTATACAAGGACGACGAATTTCCCACAACCCCACCCTTGCAGGCCCGGTAGAGCACACAGCTTTCTAGACTCGGAGTCTCTATGAAAGTAACAAAATGCATCATGCGTAAGGACTATTTGTCTCCCTCACACATAAATATTTCTATTTGGAAAGACTAACAGTCATTTAGAAAACAATCTGCTTTGGGTATCTTCACAAAGTTGAACTCTATTTTCTTTATTTTCTGTGTGTTTTTTAAAATGTATTACTCCAATGAACATGTATTACTTATTTCTTTTTTAAAAATAAATGTTTGGAACAATTTACTCGATTAAAGAGCAGGGAGATGGTGCCTTTTGCTGCTGCGCATCCAGTCAGTATTCTTCAGACATGCTTTCTGGTTCTAAAAATGCATGATTATGTGATTTTAGCACAGTTTTACATCCCAGGCAGGTCAATGGGGATGAGGAGCTTGGGGCAGAGATGAGCTCAGAGGGGACAGCATATAAGTACAACAGGAAAGAAAGGAGCCAGTTATGTTGGGCTTCCCAGGTGGCTCAGTGGTCACAGGTTCGATCCCTGGGTCAGGAAGATCCCCTGAAATGGTAACCCACTCCAGTATTCTTGCCTGGAGAATCCCCATGGACAGAGGAGCCTGGAGGGCTACAGTCCATAGCATCTCAAAGACTGAGCAAGTGAGCATGCACAGTTAATGTTATTCTGATGCTAAAGCTACCCTGGAAAATAGCATTTAAGAAAAAAACAAAACTTCAAAACCAACCAAGAACAGAAAAGCTTTATCACCATCTAGTTTCGATGTAAAGCACATGAGTTTCTGACAGGAAGAAAAAGACCCAAAACACAACAGGGAAATGTCTTTAATCCTATTGGAATCTGTTTAAACGATGTCACATGTTTGGAATGTGGCCTGGAGTTACCTACAGTCACTTCAATAATAAAAATAATGGGCAACCAACTGGTTAGAGTGAACCGCTGAGAATTAGTAATCTCTTTCAATGTATCTCTAACAGAGTTTCTTGGAGATACACACAGAATCATAAGCTAATTTCTCTTAACTTTATTTTTTTTTGGCGAAGTTCACTTTTTCCTAATTAAAAAAAAATTCCAATACACCAGGCTGTTCTCAAAACAGCTTTGTTTACCAGAATAGCCATGGATTTTGGAACATGTCGAATTAGGTTCAAGTTCTGAGACTTATATTTCTAAGCTGTGTGATCTTGGGTTAATCACGCAGTGACCCTGAACCTCAGTTTCCGCATCTGTATAAAGGGATGGGAAGTAGTTATATCTGAATCACAGAGATGCGGGAACTGCATGAGAAAACTATGCAGAGAGGACTAGTGCAGGAGAGTCTCAGCGATATTAATTCTGGCCTTTTAAAAAACCTTTGGTGACATGGGAATTGTTTCATAATTAAAACACACCTGAATTAGAGCGAATCCATTTAGAATAGGTTTAATTTTTAAATTATTCCCATATCACCTATCAGCCTCTGAAAATGAAAAGCTCGATTTTTGAAAACGATAAATATATTTGAGTCAATTCAGGTTTATCTCTACAAAGAAAAAGTGGATAACAAGATGTGGGTTTTTCTTCTAAGATCATTCTTTCTTTAAAGCCAGTTTTTCTGTACAAAGTCATTTTAGTTTCAGCTATTTCTTGTTTATTTGTTCAATTCAGAAACAATTTCTTTAAAGACTATCTAAATGGGACATACTTTTCTTGACTCAAAATAATTAAATACATCTGGATATTTATCGAATGTTAACTGTATCAACAAATATATAGAAAAATTTCATCCAATTCTGTTTTAAGGAACATTTACCTGAGTTTGCAATTTGAATAAAAGTATAGTATTGTAAATGGTTCACAGAGGCGTTTCCTTCAAAAATTGGATGGATATTTAATCATTCAAGTAATGAAATTTTGTGCTTTAAAATGTTCAAGGCTGAGATTGTAATAGATCGGCAACATTTCAAACCTGATCCTTGTTATATATCTGATACAGATATACTTCCTTGCTTTAGCCATTAATGTCATTCACTATTCAGATAAATGGTAAATGATCTTCAGATGGAAAAATTCCTTACAACATCAGAAAGCAATCTCACAAAGACAAGGCCTTCCCTCAAGCACCATTTTGAATAGATACAAAGGACAAGAACCACACAGCAAAATGAGCAGGGCACACAGGACTCAAATAATCTAACATCACCAGATGACCTTCTGAGCAGTTTCATCTGTATCAACACTCCCATACTGTAGCACGTTACCAGCAGTATAGGGTTCTCTGCCTAAAAGTGGGGGGAAATACAAAGAAATCTAAAGAATGACTAAAATCACTGATGTTTAGACATGTCACAGAGGAATCAGGGGACTTAGCTTGAATGGAAGATACAGCTTTGCATTTCTCCTTAAGCTGAGAGGCAGCTCAGTACAACGGGAAACAAGGGGACTTTCTGATGAGAGGATCTGAGTTGGAGTCCCAGCTCTGCTATGTGTGAGCTGGATACCTTGGCTGTACTAGCGAACTCTCTGAACCTCAGTTCCCTCGTCTAGAAAATGAGGCAGCACAGCATGGTGAAATGAACATAGCCAAGAGTTCACGTGTGCCAGCTGGACAGCCAATTTTGGGCTTGAATCACAGCTCCCCACTTTGTTGAGCAAGTCACTTAGACTCTGAAGGCCTCAGTGGCTAGACTGCAAAATGGGAGTCAGGATGCTTATTAGCTCTGTGAGCATTTACACGAACTAGGCCTTATCTAGTATGTTGTCTGCCACTCTTGGCACATACAAAGTATACAGTAAATAGAAATGATCATTGCTGTCTGTAAAATGAGTATAATTATAACTACTATCATTTTTGTTTACAGAATTAAATGAAATAACACAAGAAAAGCCTTTTGATAACTCTAAAGTACTATATGAAAATGATCATTATTATCTGTGTGAGCTCACGTCACATGGCCAAGGCCCTGCTGTGTGACATGGGGTGTGTTTCTTAATGTGGCTGAGTTTTAATTTCCTCATCTGTAAAATGGGTATGATAATACAGTCTCAGAGAGCATCATAAGGATTAAATAACATAGATCAAATGGCTAATCACTATTCAAAAAAATTAAAACTCTGACTCTAGAGGCCAAAAAAACCAAAACATAAAACAGAAGAAATACTGTAACAAATTCAATAAAGACTATAAAAATGGTCCACATCAAAAAGTCTTAAAAAAAAAAAATCTGACTCTAAACTATCCAGCATGGCTGGGTTGTCTACTGTTAGTCTTAAAAGATGTCCCAGATCAGACTCATCACAATTCAACATAATGCCTGGACATAGTAGGTGCTCAAGAAACAAACACTGCACAAATCTCCCTGGGTGGCTGGAGTGAATAATGGGATTTTATATAGAAGTAGTAATTAGTCTGTCTCTAACTTCCCCTTAGGCTGTAAAAGAACTTGTATCAAATGAGGTTGGAGCTTTGATATAAACTTCCTGACTGCTGGAATACACACTTGAACTGTCAAAGGCTCACTATCCTTTGAGTAGAAGGCCTTTCTGAAGATTCCCAGTGTTAGCAAAAAGAACTTCTCACTATCCCTAAACAAGCGAGAAGATCTCTCTTTGCTTTCTGTCTCTCAAAGAACAGGCTGCAGGCTGCAGGCTGACCAATCTCTCTTTCAAGGTCACCATACTAAGATGGTGATAATGATTCTATGATAAAGACCTACTTAAGGAGAATAGGACATGGCTTGGCAACTGAACAACAACGAGAGTTACTGAAGAAAAACAAAACACAAGAACCGCCATATGGGGCTTACTAGATCTAGTCTAAGGAATTTTGAAAAGGAACTGCAATCTTATTAAAAAAAAAAAAAAAAGGGACTGGTCTCCAAATACCCATCTTTCTCTAATACCCTGTGAATGAGGCCTCATCAACCTCAGCTCCCCCATTTCTGGCCTGTGGTATCTTGGACAATTATATAACCTATCTGACTTCAAGATTTCTAATGTGTATAATGGGGATAAATAAGAAGACCTCCCTCCTAAAGTTGTTTTAAAGATTAAATGAGGTCATGTAGGAAAGAGCTTAGCACACGGAAAGAACCCAGTAAATGTTCACCACTATTAAAGCATCTCCTTTACTGAGCCCTCATTCTGTATTTATGTTTCCAGCCCATAACCTCTTATTCTAGCAAAAGGCCATTTTTAGAAAGCTTCCTGCAGTTCTGAAGTCTGCTGTTTGGAGATATATCTGAAACTATATCTGGTCGCTTCGATAGCCTTTACAATCATTTAACCTGAGTCACGTTCCTTCTTCGTCCTAGCCTCTCCCAGACCAAGAAATCCTAATCTGTTTAGTGTCTTTTCTAATACTGTGTGCGTCAACTTTTTTCAAACTATTAGTGGGGGGAAAAATGGCTATAAAAGATCTTGACTTCCTAAATGCCCAACCACTAAGAAAATGTAATCTTATAAATATATGATCACAGCATATTTGCTTTGTTGTGGACAATTATTAAGGCTGACAATAGAGAAAAGTCACCCTAACCTGATCTCACCAATGATTTCTGAACTCAACTTCCTGAAGAAACCTGAGACTTCTGAGATTGACTCTGAACTTGGATGACTCAGAGCAGGTGACACATGTTTTTAGGCATCAATCCTAAGGTTACTAATAGGGAAAAGTGAGTGTAGGACCTAGGTCTGAGACAAACCTACTAATTAACCATTAACGAACAAGAAATGATCTTCATCTACCTTGGGCCCCACAGGGATAGTATAACACATTCCTTCCCTCTGCTGCATCCAGAGTTACACTAAAAGTCTTTCAAGTCTACAGGCACATGGAAGGAAGTACCTTGCCCTTCCAATCCAACACAAATAAGAATATCTTTGAT